AGAGAGGTCAAGGTCGAGAGCTTCAAATCTTTTTGTAAGATATTCCAGGAAACAGGAGCGGAGTAGGAGAAGGCCCTTTTCCCTAGTTCAGTCCTCACTGAGGGAACACTGCAGGTAATAATGTCCTGAGAGCGCACTCCGTAGCTGCACTCACGCAGAGACATGTAGGAGGAGATGTATGAAGGCAGCAGACCAAGAAGTGATTTAAAGATGAAAATGTACCAGTGAGAGAGTCTGCGTGAAGTTAATGATGTCCAGTTAACCAGTGAATACAGGGTGCAGTGGTGGGTACGATAATCACAGCCAGTTATGAATCTTAGTGCATCATGATAGACAGCATCCAACATCTGCAGGGTTCTTGTAGGAGCGTTCATGTAAATAATATCACCAAAATCAATTGAGGGTAGGAAAGTCACAGATACAAGGCGTTTTCTAGCATTAAGGGTTAGACAGGATTTGTTTCTGAAAAAGAAACCCAGTTTAACTTTCAGTTTCTTTACCAAGTTTTCCACATGGAGCTTAAAAGAAAGATGTGAGTCGACCAAGATACCCAAATATTTATAGGAATCAACAAACTCAATGGGGACACCATTTGAGGATAAAATCGGAGGAAGAACTGCTGGGACCAGCTTCCTATTTGAAAAAAGCATTCCTTTGGTTTTTTCGGCATTTAGGACAAGTTTGAGGCGGAACAAATCAGTCTGGATGTAGTTAAATGCAGATTTCAAAAGCTGGAAAGTCTTAGCAACTGTTTTAGCTCGACAATAAACAACTGTGTCGTCAGCATAGAAATGTATGGATGCATTAGGGATGTTTTTGCCTACATTATGTATGTAGATTGTAAAGAGGGTGGGTCCTAAGACTGAGCCTTGTGGTACACCATTGTTGAATGTTAAATAACTGGAGGAAGTACCATTATGTTGAACACATTGCCTCCGGTCTGAAAGATAGTTAGAGAACCAACCAATGGTGTGATCTGAGAAACCAATTTCTGAGAGTTTATGACACAAGATGTTATGATCCACAGTGTCAAAAGCTTTAGACAGGTCTAAGAAAAGTGCAGCACAATAATCCTTAGCATCCAGTGCTTCAACAACATCATTAAGAACCTTCAGTGAAGCAGTGGTTGTGCTGTGTTGTTTCCTGAAACCAGATTGATGTGGAGGTAAGATGTTAAATGAGTCCAGGTAATTTTTGATTTGAGAGTTTATCAGTTTTTCTAGAACCTTGGCTAAAATGCAGAGTTTAGAGATTGGTCGATAGTTGTTCAGTGAGGTGGGGTCTCCTCCCTTCAGCAAAGGAAGAACAAATGCTGTTTTCCAAGTGTCTGGGATGGAGTTTTGTTTTATGGAGAGATTGAAGATGTGGGTCACAGGGACTGTGATGATATGAGCAGCCAGCCTTAAGAAATAAGGTGGAAGTTCATCTGGACCTGCAGATTTTTAGGATCAAGATCTTTTAACAGTTTATTGACCTCACTGACTGAGAATGGAGAAAAAGAGAAGGTGTGATTAACTGAGGATTGACTTGTAGGAGGGATTTGATTTGTAGAAGTTTGGTTATTAAGTGAAGTGGCTGATTTTCCATTAGTAACTGTGTCAAATAAAGAACCAGAAGCAACAAAATGTTTGTTGAAACAGTTCAGGATCTCGTGCTTGTTTGACACAGGAACAGAGTTAACGAGAAGTTGTGATGGGAGGTCAGGTGATTGGGGGGTGCCTGAGAGAGATTTAATGGTTTTCCAGAATCTGTTAGGGTCATTTAGATTTTTGGAGGTCTGAGATAAGAAATAGTTGCGTTTTGCTGCTTTGACAGCAGTTGTGCATTTATTCCTCATCTGTCGAAAACTCAACCAGTCAGTGTCTGAGCCAGATTTTCTCGCTGCAGCCCAAAGATGATCTCTCCTGTGCAGGAGGTCAGCTAGCTCTGGAGTAAACCAGGGGCTGTCTTGTCCTTTTATTCTGAACTGACGAAAAGGAGCATGTAAGTTCAGGAAATAAATGAAATTATTATGGAAATAGTTCCAAGCAGAGTTCACGTCATCAGTTAACAGAATACGATGCCAGTCAAAGTGAGACAGATCCCAGAGGAATGACTGTTCACAGAAATGTTTCAGATCCCTTTTTTGAATTAATCTGGGCTTAGAAGGTGGAAGTTTACTATTTCTTAAAGCCGCTGTCACACAATGATCACTCAAAAGATCAGCGAATACACCTGTACCAGGGAATTTGTGAGGCATATTAGTTAGAAACAGGTCTAAGATGGAGGAATTGTCAGGGTGGCTTTTATTTAATCTGGTGGGGGAGTCGATCAGTTGGGTTAAATTAAAAGACAAGCAACATTCCTTGAATTTGTCACAGAGGGGGGTCGACTTACACCAATCAATGTTAAGATCTCCAGCTAAAAAGACCTCTTTGAATTTTAAATTACCAAGGAATTCCTTAATGGCATTTAATGCCTCAGGTGAAGCTGAGGGTGGTCGATAACAACCTACTACAGTTAAAACCTGGCCTCCATTCAAGGTGATGTTTACAGATAAGGCTTCAAACTGATTTGGAATTGTTTTGGAAGTCACAAGACTTGAAACCAGGGTATCTCTAATGTAAATAATGACTCCACCCCCCCTTTTTTGACGATCACAGCGGTAGATGTTAAATCCATTGATTGCCACGTCATTATTCATTACAGATTTGTTGAGCCAGGATTCAGAAATAAAGATAACATCAGCCCCAGAAGAACTGACCAGGATTTTCACAGCATCAAGTTTTTTCAGAAGGCTACGAGCATTTACATGCAGAAAATGAAGCCCAGAGGCATTTTTAAAGTCATTTGGTGTGCTGTAATTAGTCGGGGGTCCAGGGTTGGGCTGAATCCCTGAGAGCAGTAACAACATTATTATCAGACATTTTCTTGAGTTTTTTGTGACTGATGTGTAATTACAGGAGTTAACAGTGTGGCAATTATCCCCCATAATTGAACCATGAGAAACATTAATGAAGACGTGATCATTCTGAACCCAAAAACAGTGAAAGTTGCAGTGATGGACAGATTCAGGTGTATTAACAAGATTCAGTGACTCCAGATAATCTGAGAACTGAAAATAGTGACAATAATATGAATGATGCAGAAAAGTTTCAGACCATAAAATGTCACAGTTCAAATGGGCAAACAAACCCGACGAGTTGGCCAAACTGCAGTTTGAGTTGGGCTGAGGGGGGCTCCGACCCCCCTGTGAAGAAGGATGGATGGATGGATGGATGCTCCCATGAGAAACAGAAGCTGGGTCCAGAATCAACAGGCCGAAACAGAAACAGAAAATTCGCAGCAAATAGCAGAACGAGCTGCCAGAAAATCCTCCTGAAGTGAAAGGCATGGTCCTAGTTCGTTTCAGGTCAACAGGGGCCAACAGCGTGATCCGGAATAAAATTAATTATTATCCAGGTGAGTTTGGATGGAGGCCTGCAGCAGCTCCGATACAAACTCCGAACTTCACTCGAGCACCACGCAGCCCTGCTCCTTCACGCTGCTCCTCCACACTGCTCCTCCACGCTGCTCCTCCGCTTCTCAGCACCCGACAGCACGGGGCACCCCCGGTGAAAAACGAGACTGACCGGAGAGGCTGAGGCTGAAGTCGGCAACTGGTCCGGTCCGGTTCTACTCCAGTTCGGCTCCGGCGCTCCAAGCACGAGAGACGAAGAGGCTGAAGATATCCCTGGCCCGGTTCTGCTCCGGTCCGGCGGCCCAGTCTGGCAGCGCGGTTCTGCTCCGGTCCGGCAGCCCGGCGGCGCGGTTCTGCTCCGGTCCGGCGGCGCTTCAAAGCACCAGAGCGT